CCCAATGACGTCCCCGGGGGCCCGGACGACATCGGCACTACCAGATTTGGACTCAGCGTGCAAAAAATCCCCGATAACACGATATTTCAGTCGTCCTGGTCGTTCCGAGGTTGACGGTCGGTCGGTCGGCCAAACTGTATCTTATTTTGACAGCCCCTAACAGTTATCTTAATGAGGTCGGTATTGATTACATAACGAGTTTCCATGATTTAGGGCTCTAAAGGCAGATATCGCCGCCTCAACCGCAACCCGCCCTGCTTATTTGGTGTAAGACACACCATGAAACAGATATAAATCTTATAAAAACATAATGTGTGGGAAACCTGCTGCAGCAGCTGAACTTCTCATTTCTAAACGGGCAGGTTAGGATCCGTCGCGTCTCTCCTTGTCCCACCCCCTGCTCCCCTCTGCCCCGGTGGTTGGTATGAGATCGCGTTGTGGCGCGGAACGGCTGGGCGGGGAGGAGGATGGGGCCGGGGATGACTCGCAGCTAGAGACACACTTTTATTCCGCGAGGCGCTGCCATTCGGCAACGCATTTCGCTCCCTGCCTCACGGTGAGCCTCGCGGCCATACACCAGCGTTGATGTGGGGGTGCTGCTGCATGTGCTGCTGCCTGTGCTGCTGCTGTTCGCCCTTCGGCGGCGCTCCAAACGAAACAAACATTGATGTCAGCCGCCCTCCTGGGCAGAGGAGAAGCGTGGACCCCGCGATACTGCGACTGAAGTGAGCAGCCTGGCGGGCGGGCGGGCAGCCCGTCCGCCCGCGCGGCTCGATAGGTTGCCTGCCTCACGGGCGGCCGCGTCCCGATGCGGGGGACTGGAAGGGGGAGCAGGGGGGCTCGGGTTGTGCTGCTATTTCCATCCCCAATTAACGTTAATGATGACCTCCCTTCCGTCGCGGCCGCCGGCTGACATTGTGTGCATGGTGGTGTGTGTGTGAGGGGGGGGGGGGGGCACGGGCCGCGCTTTTATGACGATGCACCACCAGCAACCAGCAGCAGCGCACATTATCGAACTGTCGCAATGACAACCGTGCCTGCCCCGGCCCGCCCTGCAATACACATCCGCGTGCGATTCATTGAGATGCATCCTCTCTGCGGCGGCGCGGTATGGGGCCCAGCAGCACAATGAGGGACGCGCCAGGCCCCGCGAGGCTCAGGAACAGCCTCCCCAGCCTCCCCCTCCCCGGAGCCCTCCGCCACTGTTCTGCCGCGCGCCTCACTGCTCCCCCAGCCGCAGCCGTTTAGAGTGGTTGAGGTTGAGACCAACCGATAATAATAGAGCACCGGACCAGTCTGTTGTGGCGGGGGCGGGGCTGGGGGAGGGCACCCGGTCTCCCACGTTATTTCCAGCCGCCGTCTTGTTGGTCGCGCCGCCGCCGTCGGCCTATGATCCCCGGCGGCTCTCGCCCAGCAAACCGCAGGGAACCACGAACCGCAAAGGGGCGGCGGTCGCGGCGGTGCGGTGGTCGCCCGGGCGGCGCGGCGGTCGCCACGCCCCGGCGGCGGCGGGGCTGCGTGCGCGCGCACGCGCCGAGGGAACCGCGGACCGGCGCGGCTCGGAGGTCCTCCGACCCAACGGGACGCTCCTCCTGAATCCTTGACCCGGCTCGCAGCCTCGCGTGGCGCGGACGGGCTTCAGGATCGCGGGCGAGAGGGAGGAGCTGGCGGCACGATTATCACGGCCCAGCTGCATGCCCGGCGGGGGGGGGGGGGCGCCCCGCTGGAGCCCTCCTTTTCTCTTCTTGTAAATTCAAGTTCTCCGCGCCAAGTTTGCGACTAAATTGCGGAGCAGGTCACCGCGGAGAGAAGCGGACGCCGGACGCGGACAGGGAGGGACACGCGGACGCGCGCCGGCCGGCAGCAACAAATCACGGTAACAACTTTAGCTTTTTTCGCCTTTCCACTGATGCAAACGGGCAGGCAAAGCTAAGCGGCTGCGCCCCTCTGCCTCTCCTCCTGGAGAACGGTGCCACGCTGGATCCGCCCGACGGTGGA